AAGAAGGTAGGTGTTTCTAATAAAGTGGCCAGTAAGTGGAATCAGAAGGTATGTGTTTCTAATAAAGTGGCCAGTGAGTGGAAGCAAAAGGTAGGGGTTTCTAATAAAATGGCCAGTGAGTGGTAGTAGAAGGTCTGGGTTTCTAGTAAAGTGGCCAGTGAGTGAAAGAAGGTCAATGTTTCTAATAAAGTGGCCACTGAGTGGAAGTAGAAGGTATGTGTTTCTAATAAAGTGGCCAGTGAGTAGAAGCAAAAGGTAGGGGTTTCTAATAAAATGGCCAGTGAGTGGTAGTAGAAGGTCTGGGTTTCTAGTAAAGTGGCCAGTGAGTGAAAGAAGGTAGGTGTTTCTAATATAGTGGCCAGTGAGTGGAAGTAGAAGGTATGTGTTTCTAATAAAGTGGCCAGTGAGTGGAAGTAGAAAGGTATGTGTTTCTAATAAAGTGGCCAGTGAGTGGAAGCAAAAGGTAGGGGTTTCTAATAAAGTGGCCAGTGAGTGGTAGCAGAAGGTCTGGGTTTCTAGTAAAGTGGCCAGTGAGTGAAAGAAGGTAGGTGTTTCTAATAAAGTGGCCAGTGAGTGGAAGTAGAAGGTCTGGGTTTCTAATAAAGTGGCCAGTGAGTGTGCTTGGTAGTTAACAGAGGGCTGGTGGGGGCTGGTTGTGTTTATAGATTGATTGAGCCAGTTTTCCATTCATTATAAAACCGCAGACCTCTAAGCCACTGAGTATGTACTGTACCTGTGTTTGATAAGCTGAGTGACGGCTGTCACATGGCTGACAGTACTAGCCTGCACTGTCCTCAGGTCAGCTTTTAGACACCATTCCTCAGTGTGAGGTCTTATTGGGGACCTGATCCTGGATCAGACTGATGAGAGCTGAGCTGAGATTTACTGAGTGATGTAATGAGCAATGGGGATTGGAAGCATCAGCTGTGTTGTCACCACACAGTGTTAACGAACACAGACATTACCCAACGAGTGCTAGAGTAGAGAGAGAGAGAGAGAGATTGTGATTATGAGGTGCAGATTCAGAGTATTTCCTCTGAACGACAGAGCGGAAATCTACTTTAGAGACAAACACCATCTGCTGCCATATTTTATAAAGCAGGACAGAGAGAGATAGAGATAGAAAGAGAGAGAGAGAGTGAGAGGATGTGGGAGTGTTGTCAGAAGGAGAAACAGGAGAAACAGAGATAAAGGAGAGAAGAAAGACAGGGAGAGAGTAAAAGATAAAGCGCAAGTGACAGAAGGGTGGAGAAAGCAGGGGAAGAGAGACAGTGAAAGATAAACAGACTAAGAACAAACGAGTGTGGCCGCAGTGACCTGAAACAGAACAAACTGGAAGCATCCAGAGTTCGACACGCAATTATTTATTTTTAGATAATATCAGTAGAATGTTTCTACTAAATTTCTAGTCAAAATGGTGTGCCTAGATTTTGTCCAATTTTGTCCAAGTTATTAATTTTTCAGGAGAGATTCCTGAGGAGATTTGATATAAGATAATCCACTTGCATAAGAAAGGAAAATAAGTGAAAAAAGGAGCTTCCAAAACTGGATGAATGAATAAAAACTACAGAGAAAATGGGACTCATAACAACCACCCGGTGGGCCTGGGGACCTGGTAGACACCAAAACTGCCCCCATCACTTGTACATACATATATATATAACGCATATTTTGCATCGGATGGGGACAGTGTTGCTGTCTACCAGGTTTTGCAGGTGGTTGTCCAATATAAACACACACACACACACACACACACACACCACACTATATATATATATATATATATATATATATATACACACACAATATGTCACATACATTTTATATACGTAAGTATTTATATGAAATAATAATAACCTCAGGAATCAATAATAAATGTTTTTGGTCTTTTGATTTAAAAAAATAACATGGAAAAAAAACACTTTGAAGTCAGGGGCATTTTGTTGATTCCTGTAGGTTAGCTTGTTTTCTCATTTTTTACTACAGTCCTAAGATTTTTCTCTAGAATATGTATAAAAACACACACACACACACACACACACACACACACACATCCATAGCCGACTCTCTGTTGCCGTCTGATTGCTGAATGAAGCTGGAAAGCCTGATTGAATATGACGGCTCTGTCTCAGAGTAAAACACTGACTAACCGCCTCCAGATTTCAACTCTGAACTGAAAGTGTAGAATAGTGTCAATGACTGATCAATCGGTTACATAACAGCAGGGCGAAGTTGTGTGGTTTTGTGAGCAGACACGTGTGCACAGTGTGTGTGTGTGTAGGTGTGTGTGTTAGTGTGTGTGTGTGTGTGTGTGTGTGTGTGTGTTCTCTCAGTAGGAACAAAAAGTTCAGTGAAGAGATGAACAGAGTTATTGTTAGTTCAGTTGAAGCCACTGTCGGGACAGTAGCGTCCCTCAGCGCACACACACATACACACAGATACACCCTCCTGATTCAACTTTATACACACACACTCTTACACTGCTCTGATGACTCTTATACAGCATCCACACACACACACACCCCTGTATTCTTTCCCTTTCACACGCAGATCTGCTGCTGAGTGTGAGAAACGGATGAGAGTTGAGCTGTTTTACCCCAAACGTGCCAACAGAGCAACAGTTATCTCGACCTCTCACCCTTATCTGTTTAACTAGTGTGTATTTCTGTTGTTGTGTGTTCTCATGTCCCTCTCAGCGCTCAGTGCAAAGTAACACATTACAGTAATGTGATGTAACAGAACAGTTAATGCACTACAGGTTAAATTCCTGAATCACGTCACATCACAGTTAAAGGCTTAAAGGGAAATCCGCATATCTTTACATTTTTCTAGATTATTTAGTCATTCAGGTGCAAACACAGTCAGAGTGGTGTAATGTGAAATGTAGAGAAATCTGCTGACTGAAACTTCTTCATAAAGGTGGTGAGAGGAACCAGGGGTTCCGATGTCTAACACAAATATATTTTATTTACTATCCAAAAACACCAGTGAACCTACACTTCTTCTGAGTTTTTGTCTGTAATGGTGATGATGAATTCCCCTTTATGAAGCTCCACCTGCCCCAAAATAATACATCCCCTGCTTTCAGCGTTCTGCTAAGCCCCACCGCTGAAACCCATGCACATGTTAAAAACCACTTCAAAAGGTGCCACAAAGAGCGCTAGAGAAACCTTTTCAGTTCCCTAAAGAACCATGAGCCTTATTCACTTGGTGATCTTCCTAAGTTTTTCTTTGTTTTTGAGAAAGTTCCAAAGAAAAAGTCCACGCAGAACTGTTCTCACCTTTGTGCTCTTGAGTGTGTAGATTCTGTTCTTACCTAAGAACAAATCCCAGATAAGAAAACACTGGTGAATGTCAGAATCTTCGTAAAGACTGCGTAAGTGGGTTTTAGGAAGAAATTTCTTAAGAACGGTTGCTGAATGAGGCCTCATGTTTATAAATGAGATGTGTGATTTTGAAGAACCTTTTAAAGTTACAAAGAACCTCCACATAATGTAAAACTTCTTTATATGTGTAAGGCCTCTTCCTAGAACCTTTACATTATGAAAAGGTTCTAGGAAGGTTCTTTAGGGAACCAAAAATGGCTCTTTTATGGCATCACGAAAACCCTTTCTGGTATCGTTAATTAAAGAGTGTAGGCTAGAACGCCTCAGCACTGGTGCTAACTTAATTAACACAAGCAGCAACTAACGCAGCTAATTAGTTATCTAATGTCAGCTAACATAGGAGCTAGTTAATTACTTTGCCATCTTGCCCTTGTTGGAATGAGTTCTTTGGAGTCCTAAAACCATTTTGTTAGTTTTACACTACTATCACTTGCTAAATGTTTTAGCACTATGGCAGTCCTTGGGTTTGTGAAAGGCGCTATATAAATTGAAATAATAATAATAATAATAATAATTATTATTATAGTAGTGTCTGGATTGTATTGATGTATCGGGGCTTTTTTAGGGATGACCATGGCAACATATGTGGATCCAGCCGCACACCATTTCCCCCATGTGCTTCAAAGAACCTAAAGCTGCCCTAAATATCTTGTGTAAAAAAGATGTCAATATAAGCTTATATAATTATATAGACGTATATATTTTTTTCCAACAGTATACCATAAGTCAAAATAAGTCAAAGTATTTTTCCATGTACATGGCCATGTGTTTTTTATATGTGAGATACATTTCAAATACATTTTTTCATTCCAATACTAAGATATGTATTAAGCAGATTAAGCAAAAATTGTTTTGCTATTTTCTTACATTTTCAAATGCATTTGTATTTTTTGTATACGTATAAATACATATGTATTTTTAGTTTTTGGAGAGTTACTCTTGTGGAAAGCAGCCCACAGTGTCCCCACATTTCTTATGTTTTCATCATCCTGGAGGCAAAAAGCTAATCACACAAAAAAAACTGCAGAATTGTGAAAATAAGGACACAAGAATGGAGGAAGTGTTTTTTTTTTCTTGGACGGCTACTTTGGAACGGCACACCAACGAAACAAACCCACTGACTCTGAGAGAAGCCCAGTCTCTCTCTCTCTCTCTCTCTCTCTCTCTCTCACTGAGACCCATTCACTCTGTTCTGAGTTCAGGATGTTCTAAAAGGGTTTCCAGGGATCTCCGGGTGCCCAGAGGAAGCCTGTAGAGGAGGGGCAGGAAGAAAAGCCTCAGAGACCCAGAGAAGGACGTCAGTCACACATACTCAGCCTGTCGGGTTCGAATCAGTCTTGCAGTGGGCTGGTTTGGTACTCGGAGTCTATTTTTGAACGTACATTTGGGGAAAATTAAGTCTAGTTTTGATCATTCGTTTCTTTGCTTGAACTGATTTTTATAACTGTGTGTGTGCGTGTTATGTAAGGACAACCACAGCTGGGCTCCTTCCGCTCTTCCAGCCCACTCCTCACTCAGTCTTACTAATGACGCACAGAGCAGCTCTGACAAATTTATGGTAAATCAGAGCTGAATCATTGTCCAGTCTGATAAAATGTGATGTGTGTTTTTCAGATATTTGGTCCCTGGGAGTGATCCTCTACATGCTGGTGTGTGGCCACCCACCGTTTCAGGAGGCCAACGACAGCGAGACGCTCATCATGATCATGGACTGCCGATACAACGTCCCAGACCACGTCTCTGCAGAGTGTAAAGAGTGAGGAGAATATTCATACACCTGTACAAACACCCACATGGCTATTTTTGCCATTTAATCCACACTTCTCTGTTAATATTGTGAATTCTCAGTGCTGTTATGGTATCTATTTGATATGCAAAGAACCAGAGAACACATGAACAGGAGTGTGTCACGCATCAGTCACGCTTAATCAATCGTAACTATAATTAAACCAAGCAATGATATGTGCTTACTGATCCGAACTGCTAACTACTAAATGAGCTCACACAATTGTAAGAAGTCATAATAAAAGTAGATAATAGAAAATTGATAGAAAGCACAGTAGCACACATGAAGGTGAACATGCATGCGCCACAAGTTCTCTGGTGGCAGGTTTAAACGAGTTAAAGGGAACCGAATTAATCACTGGTGAGATGTTCAGTTCAACGGGGTTAATGCACAGTTTACCTCCACATACAGGAGTAGTTTGTAAGCTATATACACAGTATACAACCAACCCAACATAGATCTTCCAAAATAAAACTAACCCAGCATGTATATATATATATATATACACAACTGACCCAACATACATCGCCCCTTATAAAACTAATCCAGCATATCACTGCTGTTAGCTGTTAGAATAAAAGCTTATGTCACCATTTTTTGTCGTTTTTCAGTTTTTTACCTCATTGAAACTGCCTGTTGTTCTTTACATTGTTTCTAAGATGAATGGGCCAAAAGAAATGGCCCATGTTTACTTGGATAAAAGTCTAGTTACATAGACAAACATGTAATTTTGTTCTTCTCCTGTAAAGTTTATATATATATATATATATATATATATATATATATATATATATATATATATACAAACTTTACAGGAGAAGAACAAAATTACATGTTTGTGATAGATATATCGCTGCTGTTGGAAGAAATTCTCGTATCTCCATTTTTGTTGTTTTTCAGTTTTTGACATAACTTGAAAATGCCTCTTGGCCTTTACATTGTGTATAAATTTAATGATAAATGGACCAAAGGAAATGACCGAAAAATTACTGTGAAAAAAGTCTGGTTCCGGTGACTTACATTAAAAGTAAAGTATGTTTTTTCTTTCTCCTGTAATCATTTTGGAGATACGAGGTTTTGTTTCGACAACAGCGATATGTACCCCAGTGCATAAACCACACAACATATATGCCTCAACCCAAACTATATACCACAATACATACCAACCCAGCATACAATTCACAATGATCCTAGTGCCACCACCACCCATATCCCAGTACAAAGCTCCACATGTCGCCGTACATGGCTAACAAATGCTGCATTTGCTGTCCATTTATGGACACTAACACTGAGTCAGGGGCTGTTTAGGGCTTTAAAATGAATAAGTAAACAATATATTTGGCTTTTTTCCCTCAGAATTCTCGCCACACATATAGTGTTGAACACAAACTCCATCCCACAGTACGTTTAATGTACATTTATCTGATCTGGGGTGGAGAGCTGCAGTGATCCTCCTTTGGCACTGTGGTTGAAAGTGCTTTAGTAAGTGAAGTGTGTAGAGTTAGTCAGTGTCTCAGAGTGGAATGCAGCTTGGCTAGCAGATTGCCCTGCAGGATGCAGTTTCTCAACATGCTGTCTCTCCGTCACCCTCACGTTAAACTTTACACCTACTTATCAGCCTTGAGCAGGCAGGACAGGCTGAATCTGAACATTCTGTACTCCAGCTGTTTACATCTGTACCAGCCAATTACAGAACACGTCTCGCAGAAAGGCGGAGGCATTGGCCAATCAGAAACGGTGAAGAGACGAGCTAAAGGTTATTAGAGGCGACTTAGCAAAAAGCCTCGTCATAAAACGGGTTCCAGGTCTTCTTGGAACGTCCAGTTTTGGCTCCATTGATGTTGTGGCTTGAACTAGAACGCTTTCAGGTCAAGGCGGCCTTTCCATTTGGTTCAAAAGCATTTTCAACAGGATTTTACGATTCAGTTCAGCTGCTTTACTGAGTTTAATAGGGGGTGACTTATGAAAGAACTTACAAAAGGAGCTGAATGAGGGTAGAAGCCGATTTACCATTTACTTTAAGGAACATCCCTTCTATTGATCCTTTAAACCTTGCATCTCCAAAATGGTAACTGTACAGGAAAATGAAAAAACCTACCTTACTTTTAATGTAAGTCAATGGAACCAGACTTTTTTTGTCTGAGTTATTTTAGCCCGTTTCTTTTGATCTATTCTTCATTAATTTACACACAATGTAAAGGACAACAGGCATTTTTAAATTATGTCAAAAAATCAAAAACGACAAAAATGGAGTTACAATTCCGACAGCAGTGATATAGTTGCATGAAAAGGTTTGGGTGCCACTGGTCAAATGACACTTCACTGACACTTTGACCTAAAACTTCATCAGATTTAATCAGAATTCCTAACACTAGATAAAGACAACCAAATTATACAAATGAGACAAAAATATTAGACTTGGTCATTTATTTATTGAAAAAAAAATCCAATATTACATTTCTGTGAGCGGCAAAAGTATGTGAACCTTTGGAATTAGCAGATAATTTGAAGGTGAAATTAGACTCAGGTGTTTTCAATCAATGGGACGGCAATCAGGTGTGAGTGACCACCCTGTTTAATTTAAAGAACAGGGATCTATCACATATCACAAAATTTGCAGGATGACAATATATTCAAGTTTTTCCCTGTAGAGGATGTGATGTGGTATTTTTACTTAATTAACTAAACATGTAATATGACCAGGGGTGTTTCAACTTTTTCACACAGCCGTATATTTACACGGTGTAATGGAAACATGGACATAACCATGTGGTTTCTGATACTGCATGACATGCCGTTATCTTTAAAAATGGACAAAAACTGCTTAACAGTGTGTTATAATGTCATAAACCACATAAGCAAATCTATTTGAGATTACTTAACCACTCCACACAGCCTAAGGCAAGTGTGCTAACGTGGGGTCAAAGCTTTCATTACGCTAGTGACATTAGCCTCATAGCTCCAGTGCAAAGCTAAAGAAGGAAACTTAACACAACAAACATGTTTTGACTGATAAGGTACATTTTAAGAAAGGATTAAACTGTGAACTATTCCTTCAGGCTCAGTTTAAGGGAGGCCGAGCTGAGCCCTGAATTACTCGATTCAGCTCATCTTTGGGTCAAACTCAAAGTTGGTTCAGTTAGCCAAGAATCCACTTTTTAAAGCCTCAATATGGGGATCATATGAGGTTGTGGTGTTGGAGTTATTTATACAGTTTGAGGGGTTTATGGCAGGGTTATTTGTGGAGAGAACACCCTGAAGCGCAGATCTCAGAGGGAGGCTTGGGTCTGAATCAACTGATTGTGCAGCGCACATCTGGGCTCAAGTGCATGTGTGAGTGTGTGATATTTGGTCTGAACCGCACAGCCAAACATAGCGACAAGGTCACATGATCTTTACCCCGTTCAAGAACTCCTTTAATGGGAAAATGTTTCATGTCCAGCTAGAACACTTCTCTCCTGGGGGAATGCCGATGCACAAGTGCGACTGTTTCTGCCTCTCTCTCTCTTTCTCTCTCTCTCTCTCTCTCTTTCTCTCTCTCCCTCTGTTTTCTCTTTTCTCATTTTTTCTTTGTTTTTTCTCTCTGTAAAGTTAATGGATTTCCAGAATAAGCATACTATACTTGAGAACAGTAAGATTAATGGCTGAGGATGTTGCAATCCATAAAATCCATCAATATGAACACCTGCATATGATTATTCTGTGGGTAAATCGTAGTAAATAGTTAGTTTGTTCTGAGCACCTTAGTGGCCAAGCTATATTCTAATCCTGGCCACTTTATTAGAAACCCCTCCCTTGTAGCTCCACTTTGCTGGTGAACAGTTAGAGACTGTAGCTCATCTGTTGATGCACAGTTTTGTTAGTCATCGTCTAGTCCTTCATCCGCAGATCCGCTCTTGTCTGGATTTTTTTGGTGGTGGTCCACTCTCAACCCAGCAGTGACACCGACATGTGGAAAAACTCAAGCAACACCGCTGTGTTTGACACACTCGTACCAGCGCCACACACACTACCATGTCAGTGTCAATGCTGTGCTGAGAATGAACCACCAGCCAAATAATAACAGCGGCCCTGTGGTCAGAAACTGACCATTCCAACAATTCAACCAATCTGCACATGAATAGGATAAAAGGGAGGCAGATAAATTGTGCATGCAAACAAACCTAGGGTACACATATAAGGTAGTTTCTAATAAAGTGGCCAATGAGTGGAAGTACCGAGCAAGTGTTTCTAATAAAGTCAAAATAGAACAAATCTGGTTCTGTTTTTGTGTTTGTGTTGTTGTGGTAGATGTTGCAACATTCCAAATCAAAGTGTGAGAATGATTAGGAAGACATTTGGTTCGTATTGTCTGCATCACTGAAAGACTTTACAAGAAAGAGCCGCTGGTGAAGTGTGATGTGTATTTTCCTGCCAGAAAGCCTAGCTGAGTTCAGATGAGTACTAATTGGCTATCAGAGGGGAAAAAGGCCCAGAGCACGGCCCCAAATTTAGGGCAGGCGAGGGGAAGGGAACATCTGGTCTAATTATACTAGATTAGCCACTAGGTCCACTGCACACACGCATACAGTTATGTGTGAGGAAGCGAGAGTGGTTTGGCTCCTCCTGCTGGCCGTGCTGATTGCATGCCAGAGTTGTGCAAGCTAGTACCGCAATGTAATAAAGCACTCAAACCGAGTAAATAAATGATTGTGGTGCAGCACGTGTAAATGCACTGCACTCAGCCTTCACGTTTCTTCCATTCGCTTCACTGTGCGGTGCAGGTGCTCATGAATATTAATGAGTAGTGAGATAAGCACTTTTGTTTCATTGGTTCTCTTATCACAGCCAGATGCGCATATGCAAATAGCAGCGTCTAGCTGTCAACCAGGCTGTGGATATTTATCAGCAGTGAGAGAGAGAGACGGAGAAAGCGTGAAAAGTGACTGAGAGAGAGAAATGAAATGGAAAAGACACGGAAGGCAAGAGGAAGAGAGGAGGAGGGAGGGGAAGAGAGAGAAAGCATGTTTGTGAAGATGGGTTTTTTTTTTTCATTTATGATTTGCTCGTTCCGCTCTGATAAGTAGAAATAACACTCTCTCTGTCTTGTTTGCCCTCTTTCTCTGTCTACATCCCTCTTTCTCCTCCTTCTCTCTCCTATCCATTACTATATGACCTCTTTCTCACCCTGTTTACCTATCTCTCACTCTCTCCCTACCTCTTCTTGCCATCTTCTATTTTTTGCCCTCTTTCCATCTCTTTGTCCTTCCTTACCTCTTTTCCACTTTTCTCTTTCCTTCTCCTCAGCTTTCTTTCTGGCTTCTCTCACCAACCCTCTACTTTTTGCTGTCTTTCTCATTCTCTCTCACTCTCTCTCGCGCAGATTAAGATTCAACATGCCTTATGAGCACCAACTGTAATTAACATCTGTTGCCAAAGCAATGGAAAGAATGCTTAATATTAATAATCATTATTTTGTAGAAAAAAACTAAACTTTCTCTCTCTTTCTCAGTCTTATCTCTAGGATGCTGCAGAGGGACCCCTCTAAGCGGGCGAGTCTGGTTGATATTGAAGCCCACCCATGGCTGCAGGGTGTTGACCCCTCACCCTCCGGCCACAGCGCAGCCCCGCTGACCTCCCATCGCAGCCTGTCCCCCCACGAGCACGAGCTAATCCTGCAGGCCATGACCAGCGGCAACATCGCCGACAGAGACACCATCCAAGAGTGAGTGCAATTAATGATATATAGATACAGAAGTTAAATATATTAAATGCCGTTCTGTGATATCTGAAGTGAAAATATCTTGAATTCATAGATACAGAATAATTCATAGCAGTCAATGAATAATTTATAGTAGTTACTGAACAAATTACTAAAAGTTACTGAATACTTTATAGTCGTTACTGAAGTCATAATAGTTATCATATAATAAGTCTTAAGATTAATAACCGAATAAGCCCAGGGTTTAAGGGATAATGTGAAAATGCCTTAAAAGTTGCCAATAAATGTATAAATATATCTAATAAATTAAATAAATCTAAATTCTATACATATTATAAGTAAAATATTTAATTCTCTAAAATATCTTTTAAAATATACTTTTTTATTGCTGCTGTTTGAACAAAACCTCGTATCTCCAAAATGGTAACTTTACAGGAGAAGAAAAAAACATACTTTACTTTTAATGTAAGTCAATGGAACCAGACTTTTTTCCAAGTCATTTTGGGCCGTTTCTTTTGGTCCATTAATAATGAAATTTACAGAGAATGTAAAGGCATTTTCAAATTATGTCAAAAACTGAAAATTGACAAAAATGGAGATACGAGGTTTTGTTCCGACAGCAGCCATATGCATAAAATAAGGTTCCTTTTTCTAAGCACTTTTCAGCAACACATTTGAATAATTCAAGTTATTTTAACAAGTAAAACTCTGACATCTAGCATTTATTTATTGCCTCACTTTGTTTCGTATTTCTTGATATTCACTGACCTACTGCAGCTTTATTTATTAAGTGAAGAAATAACCAAACGCCGGCTGTGTTTGTGCTTCATGTGTGTAACGGTTTCTCTGTGTGTTAGAGCGCTGGAGGCAGACAGATATAACCACATCACAGCCACGTACTACCTGCTGGGAGAACGCATCCTACGAGACAAGCAGGAGCAGAACTGCCTCACTCCGGAGCAAAGACATGCACAGTGAGGGTCGAACACAAACACGCATGCTTTTAGCTTCATTTGCAGTTCCCTGTTTAACTCCAGCATTTTACATCTCACCATCATGGCTCATTACCACATGAGACAGTTAAAGTTATGCGGTGATAACAAGCCATCTCAATGAAGGCTTGATAATAAAGTTCAGAGGTTCCCCCTATCCCAAGTGTAGTTGATCAGCCAAGATATGTTTTGTGTCTAAAGTCTGCTTCTTTAGTTTTACACTGGAGCTAATGTACACTATATGGCCAAAAGTATGTGGACACCTATGTATCGCACCCATATGAGCTTGTAGGACATCCCAAAACTATGGGAATTTAATATGGAGTTGCCCCCCTTTGCAGCTACAACAGCCTCCACTCTTTCAAGGAGGATTTTCCACAAGATTTTGGAGTGTATTTGTAGGAATGTGCGTGAATAATCACTCCAGAAAACACGTTTCCACTGCTGCAGAGTCCAGGCAGCGTGCTTTACACCACTCCATCCGATACTTGCCATTGCGCATTTTGATCTTAGGCTTGTGTGCAGCTGCTCGGCCATGGAAACCTATTTCATGAAGCTCCCAACACGCAGTTATTTTGCTGTTGTTGCTTCCAGAGGCAAGCAGGAGCTCTGTAGTGAGTTATGCGCACAAAAGATAGACGATATTTACGTGCTATGCACTTCAGCACTCGGCAGACAGTTCTGTGAGTTTGCGTGGTCTACCGCTTCGTGGCTGAGCTGTTGTTGCTCATTGACACTTCCACTTCACAATATTAGCACTTACAGTTGTCTGGGGCAGATCTAGCAGAAGAGAAATTTCACAAACTGATGTGTGGTAGAGGTGGCATCCTATGACAGTGCTGTTTTAAGTCACTAACATCATCAGTATGACCCACTCTACTGCTAGTGTTTGTCTATGGAGATTTGCTGGCTATGTGCTTGATTTTATCTGTCTCCTTTTTTTTTTTACTCCTACTCAATCATGAGGAGTGTCCACATACTTTTGGCCATATAGTGTAGCTAACATATAAAGAGAGCCTATAGCTGATCAGTTAGTCTAAAAAAATCACATACTTGTCTGTGTCGAATTGTTAAGCAATTGCATATAGACTTGCTTGTGTAGTTTCTGCACTCTACGACACACTGCTATCTGTAAACATGGACAAACATACTTTGCATACTTATAAGCAGCAGTAGAAGCCATGGCAAAGCCTAAATTTTGTCCTCACTTGTGCCTATTTTTGTAGCTTAAGAAAATGGAGAAATTCTTTGTATTTATCACTAAACTGTTCCTTTAAGTTGATGGATGTGAGATTTGTTGAACTTACAGAGATCCGCCTGTCCACAAGCAGTAATGGGTCAATATTGAATATTTCCAACAGCAACTGAAAGGTTTAGACTGTTATCGAGATACACTGTAGATGCTCATATTTATGAGCAAACTATAAACCTTCATGTCCAAGGTCTGGACAAACATTTAGTTAGACCATGGTATTCAGTCATATGTTGGTTTAAATTAAGAGTTGTGCTTAAGGATCAGGTTTCCCTCTGTCTGTATTCTTACAAAAAGTTATAGAAAAATGTTCTAAAGGTAAAGCATTTGGGGTTCTACATCATCTGAACTTTTTGTTTTTCCCCACAACAGGAGGCCCTTATCTGAGCCACTGGACCTGGTGGAAGGCCGGAGCCCCCAGGCCGATCCTCTAAGAGGTGCTACTTTGGCTCCTGTGACTGTGCTAGGCTCCCTGTCTCCAGGGTTCCCTCGTCGGGGAGTGTGTGAGTCCGGGGACCTGCTGGCTCCCAAACCCAGCCGCCAGGATGGCTCATTTGCTGATTTTGGCAGTCCAAGTCCCTCTGTGGGACTCAGCCTCCGGTCTGTAGCTCCAGACCCAGTGCCAGCTGTAAAAAGCCTTGGAGCCCTGCAACAAATCTGTGAGGAAGAAGAAGAGGAAGAAGACGAAGGGGAAGGCGAAGCTCCACTTGCTCTGCAACCTAGCAAACCCAGCTTAGTAGTGTCAGCAGAACCATCCTCACAATCTCACATAGATTGTCTGGAATTAAAGGCCCAGGGTGGCCTGCGGCAGCTGAAAGTAAGAGGGAAGTGTGCAATCCTGGCAGAGGAGGGGGAGCATCAAGAGGAGGATGCGGAAAATGGCCCAGAAAAGACCTCCCAGGATTTAGCAACTAGCATCAGCAAAGTCACAGAGGAGCATCGAGTGGAGAACACCAGCAAACAACCCAGAGAAGACAAGGAGAAGTCAGAGACTGAGGACACTAACCACAATGAGCAAACAAAGAAGGAAGACTGGGGGAACGCTCCTGACCAGCTTAGCAAGGTTTCAGACAGAGCTGAAGCTGACAATGACCAGAATCTTCAGAAGTTAGATGTACTAGCACCTAGCCTCGGCGCCGTGCAATGCTGCTTGGGTCAACGTGAGCCCTCCAAGGACACTCTAGAGGATAACAACAACACCCCTTCCAAGCCAAAGCTGCTGGACAAGGGTGTGATCTCTGCCCCTTGTGGCTCACCAAGATCTCTGCCCAAGAACCACTGCGTGGACCTGGGTCCAGATGGGGTGGAGATGCGCAGGACGGGTGGGGAGGGTGAGAAGATGGAGGAGACCCAGACCAAACCTCAGCAAGGCCAGCGAGTATCCAGGGATGCCGGCACAGACATCAAAAACAAGAATGTCAACCTGCGAGACCGCCTGTTGCAGTTCCCACTTTGTGAGAAAGCCCTGTCCTTCAACATTCAACCCACCTCCAAAGAAAAACTGCTTCCCTTTGCTCAGTATAATTGTTGCCATGTGCTATAGAAACAAGCGAGACATTCTGAAAGAAAGAATGAGAGGGAATGTGAAAAAACCTCACCCTTTCCCAAATTGCCCCATTCTCAAATGGTGTGAAAGCCGTCCAAACCTTCGCCAGCATCAAATCACGCTAGCTTGTGGATCAAGTTCTTCTCATTTGTCCTCCCCTCTAAACCACCAGTAGTTTTTTAAAGACACAGCATGTGTCCTCCTCTCTTACTGTGACCTCAGAGGTGCCCTGGCTACACACAGAAAGCGCCCAATCTACTTAATATACACCCATAGCTCGCCCCCACCCCTGACCCAGCATTCCCTGCTGCTTTCCTGTGCGGTGGCTAAGCCCCCAGCGCTGCTGTGTATATAAACACCTGTATCTTCTGATGCCACTTGCTGTGTTGTGTGCTATCTCAGTGACCTTTATTAGAATTAGAGTATGTCTTGCCAGTGTAAGAGCCCCCTGTTCAATACAATCGCTTGTTGTTTTGCACTGTAAAAGCAGAGCTTCACCTAAAAAGATGGCACATATAGTGCAGACGTTAAAGAAATAGTTTGATCAAAGGCTCCCATGGAAAAAGGAAAATAATGCAATGTGTTTTTAATTTATTCCAAAATATTAATAGAATACGTTTTGAATATATTATTATTTTGCATAGGCCAACTTGACTAGCATCGGTAGCCCACAGTTAGCATGGAGAAATCAACACACTGTTAACTGAGAGACATTAGTTTGTGGGTATATAAGTATAATGTATACCGTAGTCTGGGATGGCTGAACTATTTCCTTAATAGTGCTTAAAAAACCCAGACTAAACTTTTAGAAAGGATCTGGCGAGGAAGTGTGGAACTGTGCTAGATTTCCTAAAAACTTAACAGCATCGCCATTACCTTCAACTATGTATTAGAGACCGTATGTGGTGCTGGGAAACCTTTAGGAAAGTCTGGTTCAGTTTGTGGAGAACATACTTCGGTGCAGGATCTTTGTGAAGGTGCATGTCATTGGCCCTATGGCAACTGCCCCTGTTCCACTGGCCAGAGTGTTTGTGGGGTTTCGGAGGGGCCGGGATGCATGAGAGGTAGGCCGAGCATTTTGCTGTTTGGGAGCACGGAAATGGGAGCATGCTACATTAGCACAGCTTAGACTAGCATTAGCGCCACGCTAGCTGGGTTGACCAGGGAAAGGCTTGGAATATATCTGTGATACATTTTTCCAAGGAAAAGGACTTGAACAGAGGTTATAGAGAAAGACTTTCTGTGAAAAGGACATTACCTGACGAGAGAAGACTGGTCTTCCTGAAGCTATTTTTTTTGGGGGGGGAAATTTTGTTTCAAGTACTTATATTCTTGGAAACGTTATGGGATTTTTATCATATCAGAGCCTTATTAAGGGTATGTTGGAAACATGGTGACAAGATTTCATATCATTTATAGTTTTATTTCATTTTATTGTATTGTTACATAAGAGGACCTACTTGAGAGATTGAGACAGCTAGGTTGTATAATCTTAGACATTAATCTTGATTTTATTGTTTGGCGTCTGGGTGCATCTTGACTGTTGAGCAGGCAGTCTCTTGGTATAAGCTCTTGGACACGACTGGTCATGTACAGTGTGTATATATTCTTTTGAGCATGTGTTGTTATTTGTGTATATGCTATTGACATGACATGGTGTTTTGACCTAACATACCGTTTGATGAAACAAGCTCTTCCCCTCCTTGTCATGAGCTGTCTTACAGTGAAGGGAGAACAAAACATTCCCCTAAAGGAAAGTGAGATTGTGGAAAAAATGTTTAGAAACACAAAAGCTTAATTTTGTCTAACAGTTGCAGAACTTTGTGTGCTAAATTAATGAGGCTAAGCATAGTGCAAGTTTTCTCTTAATACAGCAGTGTTTTGGTCGTGGGTAGTTGCTATATTGCGTGAGCCTAAAACCACCAGGTCAGTAACTCAGTGTCAGCCAGAAGTATTCCTCTAAATAGCCCAAATCCACATTGTCCAGGTAGCTTTACTAGTGGTGGCTATTGGTCCTCTGGTACTCTCAGTGACATGTACGTGGCTGATTACGTTTTCTGAAGTATGAGGGATATAGATTCCTTTCACACGTGATCAAATCAGTCTTGTGAGTTTACTATCTGATATGGCACAGCAGAAACACGGGTGCAAACAGAACACATTTGTGGCACACAAATAAACCACAGATAAGCTGGCCCAAAAGCAGCCTATGAACAGCGCAGTCAAATATGCTATAATGTACTAGGTGCTTTGAAGAGAACTTGCAGTAATGGGTCAATATTGAATATTTCTAACAGCAACTGAAAGGTTTAGATTCTGTTATCAAGATACACTGTAAATGCTCATTTATATGAACAAACCATAAACGTTCATATCCAAGGTCAGGACAAATATTGTAGTTTGACCAGCGTCATCAGCCATGTAATGTTTATGGACCAAGAGTTGTGCTTCAGGATCAGGTTTCCCTCTGTCTACATTCTTTAAGAAGTTACAGAAAAATGCTCCAAAGGTAAAGCATTTAAGGTCTTTATCTTGGTGCTCATTTTGGTACACTCAAAATAAAGGCTGCTTTAGGAACACGCTATAACTAGCTTTAAAGGTGGAGGTTCTTCAAGCTTTAAAAATGTTCTTCACACATTTAATTTACAAAAAAAAATGATTCCTTTAAAAACTGTCAAGTGAAAGGTTGTTTAGGGAACCAAAAGTGGTTATTCAATGACAATTTGTCTGTCAGGTACCTTGATTGTTAAGAGTGTATCATAACAGCATTTTTTCACTTACATTTCTTTTAAAAAGAAATGAACCTACCTAACAAAGAAGTTTCGTTTTTTAACAACGTGTAATGTTTTATTAAAATTCCAAAGAAGGCCATGTGTTTAAAGAGTGAACCTGATCCTGTACTACAACTCAAAGACACTTTATGACTGCAGGTCTGCTGTGAATATCTAACTGTACATGAAAAAACATGTAGAAAAGCAGAAAGACTGTACAAGTCATGATCACCATTCTTTACTCACCCTTCTCGTTTTTGTTTTTCATTTTCTCATTTGACTTGAGTCTCCCGTTTACTGACCAGTTGCAACCACTCCACATGGGAGAATGACAGCTGGACATGTCTATAGTCCCATTGACCCTTATTAAATCTATGACTCTGTCTCAATGAGATTAATTTATTTTTGTATTTATTTATTAAAATGGATTAAACCAAATGAATGTGTGTTGTGTGTTTTTTTTTTCATAACATACCAGACGAACCAGGCTGTAAAAGTGACGTTGGATTTTATTTATCATCAGTACAATGCTGTATAGCACAGTGACTCATTGCAGCCCTAGTGTGATTTCACTCTTTCATTCTGCAGTTTGGCTTCTTATAATAGCTGCACTCTAAAGCACCCTTCAGCAGTGCATGTATAATTTAGTGAAGGCAACGAATCGCAAACGCTAGACAACTGCATAACGTTAACTGAGGCTTCGTAAGGCAGATACTGCTGTTAGCAAAAATATTTGGTTGCTAGAAGATACAGTACAATAAAATCTTGAAATGCTGGATATAAACACACTCTTCATACTTGATAAATGTACAGCATATAAGTGATGCAATTTGTCTTCCCTTGGGTGGTAAAAGCCTTTATCCATGATAACACAGTTCAGTGTAATGACCTCTTATATATGTACCATTTCCTCATAAAAGTCAATTTTGGTTTAAAAACTAAAAAGAAAGTTGTAAAATACCACAGTTGAACACAGAAGTGGACGTATGCAAAGATTTATGGATTAATGCGCTAACTTCATATAAGGAAATGCTGCAGTATGGTTATCACAGGTTTCCTTAAAATGCACTGTAATTTTAGCTCACCAACTCATGTATCCAGCTTAGTGTACACTTCCCAACTCACTTTATTAGAGACCCCTACCTTGTACATCTTCCACTCACTGACCACTTCATGAGCTCCACCTACCATCATTAGTTTCTGACCACAGGATCTTTTGTCGAAAAAGAGGGGGGTCCTAATAAAGTGGTCAGGAAGTGTACTTGCTCATGTGTTCAGTTTCTTAAATATAAATAAAGATCCCCTGATCTCTTAAATCTTATACCACAGTAGTCCTCCAGAGGGAGACATTGAGTCCAACTTTTTAGGTTAATCCATACTGCCTTACGGCCATGGGCACCACCCTTTGAAACGATGCACCTTGTGGTGCTACAGCAAGCTGAGTAAACAATGGTTGAAAGTGATGGCTTTGCAGGCAAGTAACACCACACCTCTGTGTTTGTGTTTCTCTGTCTCCATACAACTGGAATCAGGATTTCACTGGTGGAAGCTCAGAGGCCCTGGTATTTTCCACTTTCTAGAAAAAAAATGGAGACTGACTTTTAGTCACCAGTGCAGCTTCTAACAAATGGTTAATGAGGTCAGTGTGCCAAAGGCTTCACACAGTCTGAGAAAAACTTTACAATGCAAATATACAAAGGCTGATAACAGGTGAGTAGAAAAAAGCATACTGTACATTTTATAAAAGTTAAGTTTTAATGCCATTAGAAAATGTAATTAATGTTGAAACATTGCTGGATGAAATACATCATGAATAATCCATCATGAATCTAACTGAAATGAAGGGAAATGAATTCATTTACTAAACTGCAGGTTTTAGTTTTAAGTGTGTTGGTACATTACTATGAATAGTACCAGGAGGTCACAGTACATTACAACAACCAGTGCTGGGAAAAAGTAGGCAATACTTTATTTACTGCTACCTGTAGGTAGTTTGTAGATGGTCTACCAAGCATTAACTCAGCTGGCTATTCCCTAATTCTAGCCATAACGCACACCTTAACCTTTAACTTTTAAAGCATAACCTGCACTTACCGGACACTTTTGGAAACTCCTCTGTTGTGTTAGAAACTGTATCCGTTAATGCACAGTTTGTGATTTGAGTTTGCCATCCTCTAGTCTTTCATCGATGGTCAGTTTCTGATTCTTGGTTGGATATTTTCAGTTGGTGGTCTACTCTCAACCTAGCAGCATCCCCTCAGCAATATCTGAACAACAGTGGTCCAGTGGTCTAGAAAATTACCAATAAAGATTGGGGTAGAGGGCTACAGTCTGTAAATGTTCATCTACAAGCACCATTAAGGTAAGTGGTGCTCTTTCCAATAAAGTGAAATTCTAATCCTTGAGTATTTATAATTGTCAAGTAGACAGTACTGATAGATAGTAGGGATGCATCAATACTGATACTGTATTAGCCTGATATCGTGCTCATTTACTCATATTCATTCTCATAAAAATGCACCGACAGCATTCAATGCCACAGGATCCTGGGTGACTTAAGCCGAGTGTACACTGTCATGCTAATGAACAAACGACTAAATTTGGCAGTGAATGAAGGTCTGCCCACACAAAGGAGTGTTGCTGATGCCATGGCAATCAGACAAAAAGTTGCTGGTCACTTTAAACATTATGCCTTGGCCAGCTGCGAAGCATACACTGAGCGATTTTTAAACACACACAAACACAACCACAACCCTTTCTTCAGTGTGGGTGGAGACAAAGACAAACTGAGGCAAAAACGTTAACGTATATGCTGACTTCACTCTTCTTGACTAAAAGGAACTGTGAGGTATAAACATTAAAACATTGATCTTTAAATTGTCTTTGTAAAACAGACTGTAGAGAGACTGTGCTGGCCTACTCATGTACATTATCACCTGCTTTTAGCTTCTGTGCACAGTTTTACCAAACCTTTTTCTCAGCATGTTTAATAATTGTGAGTACACAGAGCTGTCTGTAAGAGCTGCGTTTCATGTAGCATGGACCGAGCATTTTCATACAGTTTGAGCGTATCAGGCTTTGTCCATACACAATGGCTTTAGAGGACATTCAACTAAAGCTTAACCAGCTATTGAAAAGACTCCTAGAAGACATAAACTCGCGACATGAGCACTATACATTATTATTAGTAAGGTAATGCTCACCTGTTGGCTGACAGCTTTCATGGAGCGATATTCAATCTGTTCCCTCTTTATTCTGACCCAGTCTGGTTCATCAGGAATCATAAAGGCCAAAATGAGTTTCACAAGGATCAGAACATGCTGAGAAAGCCAAACACATTTACAAGTTAAAACACTGGCGTGGCATTAACATTGACAATCAACAATAATGCCGTTAACACTGACAATAATTAACTCATCCCCACTCTTTTTTGCTCATTATTAATGACAGAGCATGACTTCAACTAATGACCTGAATCCTCACTGAAAGAAATGTCTTTTTCCAGTCCTCAAATTGAATTCTCTGGTGGTTAATGAACAATGAAGGATTGTAGGTGCTGTAAATGCTCTATTATGGAATAAATATGTGAACTATTATGTGTAACTCAGTAGACCTGCCAAGTCATGTAGGTGTTTGGATAATGTCACTGTTTTCAACTCCTTTGGCAAACAACAACGATAGACTGTTTGTAATGACTTCACCGGTGCTGCTTGTGGGTGCTGTGTATGTGTGTATGGTTCTGTGCATATGTGGATTTCAGTGCGCATGCATGTGAGAGCTCTTACCTCCACCATAACAGCGCAGATGACCACAATAGCTGGACTGAGCCCAGCGTCGTCAGTTAGGGCTTGAACTCGGGGGGCCAGGAGCAGCAACCAGCAGTTCGACACGACAGATACGAAGCCCAACACCTCAAATGCTGCCTGCACAATTTACATACACACACTTAGCTACAGCTGGAGTTAACTGTTGTTAGTGCTTTGAAGGACTACACAACTGTCCCTGAACTTACGCAGAGCCACACATTCAAGATTAACTAGCCTAACCAACAAAACTAAAATCATTCAACAAAGAGACCTAATTTTTTTTATACAGCCTGAAGTCAGATTAACCATATGTTCACATCAGGAAATGACAAGTCGCTAATGTCGCCTGTTTGTCACTTGTGGGTGAGTTCCATTGATCAGCATATAGAAACTGGACGCATTCGTCCCGCTGTTTTCAGTGTGGACCAGGTGAGGTTAGTGTGTCACTTCCTGATCGGCTTCTCACGCAGTGGATAGCAGTAACGTGTGACACTGTGCAGGCACCTTAATGATGCAAATCGTAGGAAAGTATGAAGCTTTATTGTGAAGCCATAAAGTGAATGACAGGCCTGTGGATCAAAGGACAAAAAGTCCATTCCCTCCACAAGACAACAGGCCCATATGGGAATCTAAATTTGCTCAGAGGTGTGTTTATTTCTGGGAAGTAAATTGTGTGATTGTCTCAAAAGGTCTTCTTGTGCCTCAACAGCTCACTTCTGGTGACACACTTTAAATGGCAAACACTGGGGGCTTGTTAAGTTTGAGGCTGCCCTTGTTGTCACATGTTGGCATGTACACTGGCCAGCTTCTGACAAGAAAATGTAAAAAAATTCCAGTAGGAGCAAAAAGTTCAGAGAACAGAGATTGGGACCTTGGACCCTCATGTCTGCAATTGGGTGCTTGGAATTTGTTGGAGCCAATCATTTAGACTGTGGTTTTACCACATTTAAAATCTCAGCTCAATTTGTAGCTTGTCATGCTGTCACTGTTTTGCTTGTCACTTGTTGCTAACTTGCAGCTACAATTCACCTACGTTCTTAGGAAATGACTAGTTGTCTTTCGCTCTATTGTCTGCTAATGTGAACAAAGGTTAAGACATTAAATGTTCACACATACAGCGTTTGCTGGATCCACGGGTGGATTTTTGTAGTGTCCACAGTTGTATGTTATATAAGAACTCATATGGCCCCTTCCCATCTCACCTGCCACACCCCCATGCCACTCTCAGGAGGTGAGAAGGGCTTTCTGAACAGGCAGCAGATTTTATAGGCATCTCCACGGATCTCAGTGATGTTATTCAGCAGCAGCAGCACAGCGGTGAGCGGATACACACATGAGAACAAACTCAGGTAACCAAACTGCACCAACAGCTCGATATACTCGGCAAACAGACCCTGAAAGCACACACACATACACACACATTGACAGAGGTCAAAGAAAAATAAATAAAAGAAAGAACGGCAGTAACCAATTTAGTTATCTTATTACAATTACAATATTAGAAAATGCAGTGCTGATACTCTCACAGCTTTAGTGAATTGTCATGGGCCAGGTGGAGAGTCAAGAGCATGAATTTTGAAATATTATAAGCAATTAATTATAAGCAATTCAGTATATTTTTTAATAATTCTGAATTGTTCCAAA